CGTATAACACCAAAGATGAACTGAGGGCAAGGATTATGAAAGCATTCAACAACTTAAACAAGGAGACCGTCTACAAGAGTGTAAGGGGATTCAGAGGTCGTCTGGAGTTCTTAGTTAAAGCAAATGGAGATTTTATTGAATAAATTTACTGTTGAGTAGTTTTATGTAATTTTGGTAAAAATATCTGTTAAAATAAAATGTCAGTGTTATTTTAATTTTTGCGTAATTTAGACGACATTTTATCCATCGAAACTACTATATATATATATATATATATATATATATATATATTGATAATATTAGTGGTCATTTTTCCGATTTCTTTTTTGTAGGTATGATATATTGGATCGTGATTACGATTCCAATGTAATAAATTATAACTATGGAATATGTTTTAGGCTTTTTATATAATATATATATATATATATATATATATATATTATGCCTTTTATATATATATATATATATATATATATATATATATATATATATATATATATATATATATAGAGAGAGAGAGAAAAATAGATAGATAATAGATATGAACATACTGAGATAGATCAATAGATAGGTAGTTAGATATTAAAAAACTGAAATAAATATATATTAACAGATTGTGTTAGATAAATCGATTCATTTTTGCTTATTTATTTTTACTTATACAATTCTTATGTATAATAAGCACTTGTCTATAATAAATATTCCGACAAAATATTTTTTAGATTTTTGTAGTTCATGCAAAATGATTTTATGACTAACGTAAAATTATTTTTATTTGAAAAATTTGAAAGTATTAATTGCATGCTTAGGCTTTTAACTATGAGAACAACTGTGTGATATGGAATAGGATACGGAAATCATATTCTTCCTTTATTTTAATTTCATAAATTATTCAGGATTTCGGTTCAGTTGTATCCGGCATGGATACTGGTTTTGTTAATAATCGATGAGTATAGTTTTGATAAAAAGACGCTCATAATCTTGGCATTTGATCCCAGTTAGGAATACATTCATGTCGGATAACCCACACCTCTCAGACGGACTTCAAGTTAAGATGCTCACAAGTGTTTAGCTACCATTCCATAGTCACCTAGGTTGCCTTATCCTTCTAGTTTAAAAAAAAAACATCTTGAGACCTTGAGTCCATGATGCTAATCTCGCTATTGAACAGAGATGCACTGCGCGTCACCACAACCCAGGAAACATGTCCAACTGCCAAGCAAATCGTGTTGCCTGAATCAAAGTTACTTGACATGTTTTCCTTGGGAAAGATGTCAAGCAACTATCAAGGAAATATATGGTACTGAACGGGATATTTAGAGTATTTTAATTCGCCAAGACAAAACGTATATATGTTAACACATCCAATCAATTAACATTCAGAAGCCATGAGAAGCCTGGCGTATTGTTATTATTGTTATTATCATTGAGTTTTCCGCCAGGAAACTGCTGCTGTTGTTGGGGTCAATCGGACTTGTTTGTCGCACGGAATCTTATTCTGACTTCCATTTTCACATAATTCTCTGTGGTAGGTCACTTGGAAAACCTTATAAACGAGCCAGGATAAAATCCTTTGTTCTTCTTACTTTAACGCTTACCTTTGTTTCTCTGTGCCTAATAATCTATGCGATAGTGGATTGTTCTGAAATGAAAGTTCGAAAACTTCTATTTGCCGTGATTCTTCACGACGTTGGCGATCATGTCTCTCTAGAATGTTCTGTCCTTTTTAGCCGTTAGTAAATTTTGTATTTTTCTCTATTTCTCCTATATCCTGTTCTACCAGCAATTTACATAAGTGTAGGTTATGCGCTGTTTTTATTTCTCCCTCTTGCCATCAATGTCTTGTGAATGTTAAATTTTCCAAGCCCTTTTTCCTCATTATGTGTTCTAGAAATTTCTTCTGCCCCTTTCTGATGTTAATTATAATTTTCTTCTTTGCTTGGATTTTCTCATTTTCAACTTCATGTTGAGTTCGTGGTGTTCTCAGTATCCTTCTGTAGAACCACATTTCTGCTGCTTCAAGTCTTTTCATTTTGAGGAGATTGTCCAGCACTTACTGCCATACAGGTAACGGTTAAGTACTCTTGTACCTTGTGTGTCGTGAAGTTTTTTTTATTTCTTAATACTCTGCTTAGCTTTTGGAAAGCATCTTTGGCTATCCCAATGTGCTCTCAGATTTCAGTGCCGCACTTTCCGTCCTCTGTTAAAACACTTTCAACTTTTGTACTTCCTTGATTTTGGCATTTCCGATTTGCAGTTCGTATTTTAGGATCATCCTTTTACTAAATCTCGGGCATTCTGTCTTCTTAATGTTTAAGTTGCAGCATCCAGATTGGCACAGGCAATGAAAATGCAAGGCATGCTTTTGGCGTGAGCTGCTAATTGCAACAACTCGGAGATTGCTCATTTCTTGAAAGGGGACATGTGACTCCTAACATGCCACACAATGTGATACACACCTAGCTCATGATAGTCCTGACGTTTGTAAGCAACAAGTGCCAAGTCATACTGTCTCAGTTTTTACTGTAGGGAAGGGGTCGGCAACCTTTTAGAGAGAGCGGCCACAAAGCTATGCAGCGTCTTGGCGGAGCGCCATGATATCAAATGTACTAAATGTACTTGATAAATTGTCTCATCCTTAGACCGCTCTGTCCAGAAGGCTGTCTGTGTCTGAAGGTTTAACGAAAAAACAACAAAGTTAATGTTTTATTATTTAAACAAGGTTCCTTATTTTACTACAAGGAATAACAGGTTAACAACTAACATAACAAAACATGCAAATTCTTTACTGCAAACTAAATACAATTAGAAATGTCAAAATATTTAATGAGGCACTTTTTTCTGCTTATTGTTTGATAATTTCTTGGAAATATTTGTCGATGACAAATCACTCAACATTCTTAAACGACTTTTAGTATATTTCATTTTCGAAAAAAAGTTGTTCACAATCATATGTAATTCCAAATAATGATAGCATCATTTTCGCATTATTCAATAGGCTTTTCTATTTTCCGCTTGGAAAAGCATGTTTCTTGAAGAAGTCAGCAATGGATTCAGAATGAAATTTTGATTTTAAAAGTTCATCGCATTGTAAGTCGATTAACTCCAATTGATATTTTTCTGCCACTTGGC